ACTCAAAGCCATTCTATGAGTTTTTGTTTTACTTTATTTCAAGTACAAACATTTAGCACATAGCTCCATCATCTCTTGGCCGATTTAAGATATAATTACAATTTTGGACTCAGGAGGTCAAATCCTTTCGATTGATGTATTTGACCACGTTCAAGGTCTCATAGATTAATTTACTTTAATCGTGCCTAAAATCGTGCGGCGGCTATCGAGGATTCCCTCTTGTTTATACTAGCAATGAATTCATATTGATGTAGTTCGTGTTTGTTTTATATATCATGTCTTGGCACCTTGGATATTTTTAGTTGTATTTTTTCTTTACGTTATCTTATTGGTGTGCTTGAAAATACATAGCCTGAGCGCTCAACAAAACGAAACGTTACCAATAGATAATTTTACGAAACTATTCATATATGAAACGGAGATTAAGATCGCAACATAAATGGTTCTGGATAATGAAAAAGAATGATTTCACAATCTAGCCATATTATGTACAGTTCTTAAACAGCATGACGTCTCAGCAGAATTGTGTTTTTTTTTCTATAGCTGTTGTAAATAATTGAACAATCGTGAAAAATAGGATGGTTTGTTTCAATATATATATATATAGAGAGAGAGAGAAACTATATCTAACCCAAGCAAAATAAGATTTAACTTGTATCCAATCCGATCAAAGGAATTTTTACCTTGTATCTAATCCGATCAAAATAAGATTTAATTTGCATCCAATGCAATCGAAAGAAGATCCAGCTTGTATCCAATCCGATCAAAATAAGATTTAACTTGTATCCAATCCGATCAAAGGAATTTTTACCTTGTATCTAATCCGATCAAAATAAGATTTAATTTGCATCCAATGCAATCGAAAGAAGATCCAGCTTGTATCCAATCCGATCAAAATAAGATTTAATTTGCATCCAATCCGATCGAAAGAAGATCCAGCTTGTATCCAATCCGATCAAAATAAGATTTAACTTGTATCCAATGCAATCATAAGTTTGAAACTTGGCGGGAATCCATTTCCGAAGATCAGTTTTATTTTCATGGGAAGAAATTTCAAGAAAGTGCATGAAATGTGAAGCAATAATTGCTTAAACAAATTGTAATTCACCTAATTATATACGTTATATTATTAAAATGGTTGTACTGTCTGCCTCATGATTTTTCTTACTGAATATTTTTTTGCGTCTTCTATTTGTTTCTATTAAATTGTAAAACAATTGTAATAATAATAATTTAGTTATTTGTTTCTTTTTTTCATAATTTACACATTTATAATTTTTTCCCACTTCTGGTTTAAAGTTTGTTCATTTGTATGTTTGTTGTTAAGCACAAAGCTACACAATG